CGAGAGAGAAATTCGAAATTAGCCCTTTTTCAGGGCAAAACCAGAGGCTTTCAGGAATTCCCACCCCTCCCTAGCGCGCCCGACCTTGCCAAGAGACACCTGGCACAGCGCGCGCGTGGACCTTTGCTTCGGGGTCTGTTGATACTGGCAAAGGCTCCTTCCAGGAGCTGCCGGCAGCAGCTGCACATCCCCGTCCCCTCCCGGGTTGGAGGAGAGGGGACAGCACCCTCAGAGCTCGCTGGTCCCACTGCTCCTGATGCAGCCTAAGGCTTGGAGAGGTAACGGATCGACCCCGGATCTGCCTGGAGCCTCCTGCCCCCAGCTTGGGCCGTGGGGTGGCTGTGGGACCTGGGTCTCCCCCCACCAGGTTATGCCCCCATGGAGACGTCCTGGGGTCTGAGATGACCTGGAGCCTGAGCAGGGGCCCTGGGAGAAGGTTGATGTCACGGCACAGGGAGAAGGGACCCTGCGAGGACCATGGAGGGATGGTGCCCACTGGGACACTGCAGCAGCTCGTGGCACTCTGCTGCTTTCAGCCTTCCTGGACCTGTTTAGCCTGGAGAAGAGAAGGTTGAGAGGGGATCTAAGCAATATGTTCAAATACCTGAGGGGAGAATGTGAAGAGGACAGGGCCAAACTCTTCTCAGTGGTGGCCAATGACAGGACAAGGAGCAATGGGTATAAATTAAAACACAGGAAGTTTAATCTCCATAGGAGGAAGAACTTCTTTCCTGTGAGGGTGACAGAGCATTGGAACAGATGGCCCAGAGAGGCCGTGGAATCTCCTTGCTTGGAGATCTTCAAAACCTACCTGGATTCCCCCCTGTGCCCCATGCTCTCGGTGTCCCTGCTTGAGCAGGGGGTTGGACTAGACGATCTCTAGAGGTTCCTTCCAACCTCAGCCATTCTGGGACTCTCCCAGGAGGACGTGGCTTGGTGCTCTTTGCTCACACTCGCATCAAGGCAGCTTCAGTGGAGCAGGAACTCCTGTCACCAGGGAGGGGACGGGGGCAGATGTCCCTGGCTCCCCCCTGCCCCTGGGCACCCCCGGTCCACGGCTCCCCAGGCCAGGCTGGACCCGCTGCCGCGGGGGTCCCTGCCCCTTTCTCTGCATGGAAAGGGGGCTATGGGCTAGAGCCCCATGTCCTGCTTCTTGCTGCAGGTGTCGGGCACAGAGAGAGTTCATGGTGTGAGGCCCTGGATCCTGCTGCTCTGGGGTACCCATCACTTGAAGGCACTTGAGGAAACGTGTTTTCCAATGCTGGGTAAAGCCCCAGCACCGTGTGCCTTGCCCTGTCCCAACGTCCCCGTAAAAGGGAAGGGGTTGAGCACATCTGTGCCAGGAGCAGCACCAGGAGCGGTACCAGAAGCTGCTGCAGCAGCCGCTTGTGGCCCAGGCTGTGCTGAGAGGCTCCGTGAACTGGAAGACAAGAGTGGAGCTGGACCACGGGTGCTGAGGACAAGCTTCCAAACAGGGACCCTCATCGAGTGCCAGCGGCTTCTGCTGCCCCTCTGCCCCGCTTTCTACCCCTGCCTGCTGCAGCCTCGAAAGCTGCACCCTGTCCCAGGAGAACTGTTTGTCGAATAAACACAGACAGTGAAAAAGAGGCATTGGAAAAGAAGGGGGAAAAATAAACAAAAAATAAACACCAAATTCTCTTTGGGCTTGCGCAAGCGGCCTTGGGTCCCAGACAGTATTGATCCCCAAGTCCTGCACCCTGTGCGTGCAGCTCCCGGGCCCATGGGAGTCGTTTTGGACCGAGCCCTGCAGGCAGCAGCGCAGGGAGGTGCCGGCGGGCTCTGCATGGACCCCATGCAGCACAGTCTGACACTGTCCACTCTTGAACCTTCCCAAGGGGGTGCAGCTTCCCTGGAGCAACATCCCCCCGTTCCTGCTCCCGCAGGAGCCCCGCGACCAGCCCCACTGATTGATCCCTCTGGTCCTCACGAGGGACACGCGTGAAGCGGTGGAGAAACCCCGGTGCAGGGTTACATAACGGGGCTGATGTGTCCGCGCTGCCCTTTGTCCCCAGCTCTCACGGCAGGACCACGTCCTGCTTTGCCAGGTTGGAAGCAGCGGGGACAGGGGCCGTGGCTCCGCTCCTGGCCCTGGGACAGGGATGTGCTGGCAGCTCCGCAGCGAGGGAGCCGCTGTGGGATTGCGGGAAGGGCAGGTGCCGTGGGCGCTGCGGCTTTGCTGGCCTTGCCCGGCAGTCACTGTCCGCTGTAGAAGGGAAAGGAGCTGCTCTGTTTGGTCCTGAAATGGGACGAAAATGGCCACGTGCCAGTGGTTTTGGTGGAATGGGAAATCTAGCCTAGCCAAGGAATGGAAACTTCCCCAGGGAATCACCACATCCCACCCATCCGAGGTCTCCCCCGTGGGTCCTGACTGCCTCTCCAGGGAAGGCAGTGAAGTGGCAGGATGGCAGCAATGTGGGGCTGACCAGTCTATAGCCATCGATGGGTGCCCGGCCCTTCCAACTGGGTTTTACACCAAGATGTGGCTAGAAGAGGACTGAGCACAGATACAAACCTCCTACATCCCCCCAACGCCCTGTCTGCGATCCGGCTCCTGCGTCTCCTCCTGCTGCATCCGTGTTCCAGGTGCTTGTGCAGGTGCCAGGGACAGTCCCCTAAAAGGCTCCCTGCCCAGGGCAGAGGGACAGGACAGCTGTCCCCAGACTGTGCTGTGGTCTGTCCGGCACCTTGAGCTTTGGGGATGGGGAGAGAACGTGCTAGTAACAGGGCACGCACATCTGCACGCACATCTGCACGCACTGAGCCTGGACTCGTTTATTGAACAGCAGGGGATGCTTGGAGAGGGAGGCACTGTGCCCTCCATGGTGATGAATTCCACCTTCCTCATCCTCTTCAGCCTCGAGTCCGGTTGGAGGGGGGCCCTGGGGCTGCTTCTCTCTGCTCTGCCCTTGGCAGAAACCATGTTCTGGGTTCGTGTCTCCCCGCCGGCCGGGCTGGGAAACGTTCCCCGAGAAGAGCATGTTCCCACCGCAGCACCAAGGGCTGCGCCGTGGCCTTGGCCGTGGGACCAGCACCGGGGAGGGCAGAGGTTGCTCTAAACCAGCTCTGTGTTTTTCGCAGAGTCCTGCAGGCAGAAGGGGTTGATTTCAAACAGGAGCAGCTCTCGGGCTCCTGTTTGGAGCAGACAGGAACCCCTGGGCAGATATGAAGAGGGAAAGGAGCTGTGTAGGTCAGGGAGGAGAGGGCTTGCAGGTTCGTCATCACCCTGATGCTTCAAGCTTCAGAAGCAAAAACACCACGGCAGGATCCCCATCCTCCAGCCGCTCTCCAGGTCCCCCACGGCTGGAGAGGAGCAGGGGAAGAAGGAAACCCAGCTCAGCACCGGTCTCACCCTCCTGCCTTCCCTGCTGGCAGGGAAGGTGCAGCCACAGGCATCCACAATCATGTCAGGGATGTCGGTCTTGACGATGTTGCTGTCCCTGTCGTAGTAGAGCAGGGAGAGCGGGCGGCGCTGCGTGGGCACGCAGCAGGAGTCCACGGCAGCGTCCGCG